ATAAGCCTCAGGCTTAACTGCTTCTTTGGATCTCAGTTCTTTTCTATGAAGCCCTCCATATGCATACATAATAAGACTTTTCTCATGTTAATCTGTCTTTTGTCAGTTTAATTTGCAGTACTCCAGGTATAAAACCTAAGGGCATAGGGGAAAAAAGTTTTCTTCCCCTACAGGTTAAGTGACATTGTCTGGTGAGAGAATCCAGGGAGAAAGGTCTAAGGACTGAACGTGGGGCCCTCTAACAATGAGAGATCACACAAAGGAGGGGATTCAGTGAAGGAAATAGGATAGCAGCCAGTGAGGATCAAGGAGAGCATGATGTCTCAGAAGCCAAGAGAAAAGAGGATTTCAAGGAGGAACGGCCAGTGGTGTCAAATGTTGCTGAGTTGCTCAGTAAGATGAAGACAGGGAAGTCATCACTGGATTAGCAGAAAGGAGGCCATGGGGGATCTTATAACAGCAGACTCAGTGGAAATATGGGGTAGATTCTGGATTGATGTGGATCCAGGGGAGGAAGGGACATGTTGACTACTCTTTGGAGAAGTTTTCCCATAAAGAGGAGCAGAGAAATGGGGAGGTAGCTGGAAGGTGACAGGGGTCAAGGGAGGGGTCTATTAAGAAGGAAGAAAAGACAGCATGTTTGCATGCCAGTGGAGGACAGACTGACAATGTATGGGGCGGGGAATGGCAGAAACAGTCTTTGGGAAAGTTGGAGGGGATGAGACCCAGTGAAGCAGGCATTTGAAAGTCTCACATATTCTTAAACTGTGTATCCATGTACAATATACATACAGAAAAGTATACAGATTACAAGTATACAACTCTGTGTATTTTTACAAATTAAGCACACTTGTGTAATCAGCAGTCCAATGCAGAAACACAACTTTACTGGCACCCAGATTCTTTTTGACCCCTTCTAGTTACTACTCCACCCCTCAAAGATAATCATGATCCTGACTACAAACATCACAGATAAATTTTGCCTGTATTCTACTTTAATAAAAAGGATCACACAGAATGTAATCTTCTGTGTTTGGCTTTTTTCTTTCAGCATTATGAGTTATCGTGTATAGTTGCAGACCATTTCTTCTCAGTCTATACAGCTGACCCTTGAGCAACACACGTTTGAACTGTGCGGGTCCACTTATATGAGGATTTTTTTCCCCACTAAATACATAGTACAGTACCACACGATCCATGGCTGGTTGAATCCGTGAGTGCAGAACCCCAGATATGGAGAGCTGACTACGGATTTTCTTTTCTTTTTTTGGCTGCACTTCACGGCATGTAGGATCTTAGTTCTCTGACCAGTTCCCCAACCAGGGATCTAAACTGTGCTCCCTGCAGTGGAAATGTGGAGTCTTAACCACTGGACCACCAGGGAAGTCCCTATATAGATTTTTGACTTGAGGGTTGGTGCCCGTAATCCTCTCATTGTTCAAGGTCAATTGTATAATATTCAGTATTCGTTATCTATTGTTATGTAATACATTACTCCAAACTTGGGGGACTTAAAACAGCAAACATTTATCTATCAGAATGATAAGAGAGAATCATTCTATCACCAATAAAATTCTGCAGATACAGCTCTCTTAAAATCTTTATAGGTCTTCTGTGAATCTTTTTTTTTTTTAATAAATGTATTTATTTTATTTATATTTATTTTTGGCTGCGTTGGGTCTTTGCTGCTGCACGCGGGCTTCTCATTGCGGTGGCTTCTCTAGGTGCACGGGCTTCAATAGTTGTGGCGTGCTGGCTCAGTAGTTGTGGCGCACAGGCTCAGTTGCTCCACGGCATGTGGGATCTTCCCGGACCAGGGCTCGAACCCGTGTTCTTTGCATTGGTAGGCGGATTCTTAACCACTGCGCCACCAGGGAAGCCCTCCTGTGAATCTTATTGAGATTAACTACACCAAATGAAAGCCGTATTCACAAATACTATAGATAAACCTTTCTCTTCCTTGAGCTTCTCCTTTGATCACTGAGAGTCCTATTGTTAAACTGAACTATTCTCTGAGGCACTGCCTTAACTCTTTCTTAACAAAGAATTTATGTTCACCTCCTTGGCTTCATTTTCAGACCATGTTTTCTTGAGCATTCCTTAGATATGATCTTTGCCTGCAAGCCATTTTTTAAATATTAGCTTCATTTGTCCTTGGAGAGGCTAGGAATTTTCAAACCCAACAATCCCCAGATCCTTTTTGTTAGCATTCCTTCCTTTAGCTTACCTCTTTTCATATTTTATTATAAGCAACAAAAAGAGGGACTTCCCTCGTGCTCCAGTGGGTAAGATTCCACACTCCCAATGCAGGGGGCCTGGGTTAGATCCCTGGTCGGGGAACTAGATCCGGCATGCATGTCGCAACTAAGAGTCCACATGCCGCAACTACAAGCCACATGCTGCAACTAAGACCCAGAGCATAAATAAACAGATAAGTATTAAAAAAAAAAAAAAAGAACTTTCCTGGTGATGCAATGGTTAAGAATCCGCTTGATAATGCAGGGAGCATGGGTTCAAGCCCTGGTTCGGGAAGATTCCACTTGCCGCGGGGCAACTAAGCCCGTGCGCCACAACTACTGAGGCTGTATGCCATAACTACTAAAGCCCATGCGCCTAGAGCCTGTGCTCTGCAACAAGAGAAGCCACCACAATGAGAAGCCCGCACACCGCAACGAAGAGCAGCCCCCGCTTCACGCAACTAGAGAAAAGCCTGCGCGCAGCAACGAAGACCCAATGCAGCCAAAAATAAATAAATAAATTTATTTAAAAAAAAAAAAAAAAAGCAACAAGAAGAAACCAGATGGCACCTTCAACATTCTGCTTGGAAATCTCCTCAATGAGATCTGCAATTCATTAGTATAGTTTCTACTTTCCACCCCACTGCTGGTGACAATGTTGCTAAATGTATCTCAATAACAAGGACCCCCTTTCCTTCAATTTCCCTACTTTCCTCACTTCTCTTTATCAGCAGCCTCCTTAAAGGACATGAGGCTTTTACTAACATGCTCTTCAACATTCTTAGGTCTTTCACTAACACTCCTCAAATTCCTTCCTGCTGCTACCCAGACCCAGTTCCAAAGTCTTTCCCACATTTTTAGGTTTTTATTATGGCAGCACTTCATTTCCAGATTTTGGACAAACCCAGAAGCTAAAACCCACACTCAGGAGCCAACTATATATGCTGTTCTGTACCTTGTTAATTTTGCTTAACAGCTTTGGATATCATCCAGTATCAATAGATATAGATTAACCCAGTGTTCCATTGTCTGACTGAACCATATCTTTAAAATTTTAACTTACTAATATTTAAAATTTAAATGATTAATATTTTAAGTGTTAATAGATTGGCCAATTGCTCTAAGTTGTGTCAGTTTACACTCACAGCAATGTATGGTAGTGACTGTTTCTCCAAATACTTGACCACTCAGTGTGCTAGCAAGCTCTTTGACCTTTACTAACTTGGTAATCAAAAACCATTTCATTGTTATTCTAATTTGCATTTTATTTATTATGAATAAGGTCAAGTATAATTTCATATATTTTAAAAGCCATTTTCACTTTTTCTGTCAACTGCCTAATCACAATTTTTGTTCATTTGGTGGTAATTGATAATTTTTTCTTTTCTTTTTTTTTTAAGATTTCTTTTCTTTTTTTTTTTTGATGTGGACCATTTTTAAAGTCTTGATTGAATGTGTTACAATACTGCTTCTGTTTTATGTTTTGGTTTTTTGGCCCAAGGCATGTGGGATCTTAGCTCCCTGACCAGGGATTGAACCTGCACCCCTGCACTGGAAGGTGAAGTCTCAACAACTGGACAGCCAGGGAAGTCCCCATTTTTTCTTACTGATGTTTTAGAGCTCTTAAGAAAAGCAGACCTTCATCTGTCTTACATGTTGCAAATACTTTTTCACAGTTTGTCATTTCTCTCTCGTTTGTTTATAGAAATTTTTTCACTCGAGTTTTTTATATATCTTGATATTAAATATTTTTTATATATCTCTTCCCCACTCCAAGACCATAAAAAACAAAACAAACTCCATGAATTATTTTACTGCTCTTTGTGGTTTCACGTTTAATACTAAAATACTTGATAGATCTGGAATTTATTTTGGTGTAAGGAGGGTGAGAATCGCACTTTTCCCCCAGCTGATTAGTCATTTCTTTGTACACAATTCATCCAACAATCCATCCTTCCCTCTCCCCGTCCCCACATTTTCATTATTTTACATTTCTTATTATATCTTTTTTCCCTATTAAATCGTGACATCTTTTATTGGAACCGTGGAACCACGGAATTTAGGACAGCGTCAAGAATCCAGCTACAAAGAAGGGAGTCTACAGGTCTGCAGCTTGCACGCAGAACTACAACCAATCTAGCCACTGTTTGGGGTTTCTTTCCTCCCGCAAACCTGCAACAAGGAGCAGTCAGGAGAAGCAGGCCCTTGAATTGCCGAGTGTTTGGTACATCACTGAGTGTTCGTTAGATAACTGGGGTTGGGGGTTGGGGGGCGGGGGAGGCGAGCATGGGAGGGAGGCTGTGAACCTATCTTTCTTAGCCAGGCATTTTTTTATTTTCCAGAGTCTTGTCTGTCTTCCTTTATCTCACCCTAAGTACCCAAATCTTCCTTGAAATGGGGTTACAGGGCGTCTCCGCCCCAACTCTTCCCGAAGCCCTTGTCGCCTGTCCTTGCCTACAGTCTAGACGAGAGGGCGGCTCCGAACGCATAGGGAATAGAGTGACTGGGATCGGGGGCAGGCGGGGGAGATGCCAGGGTTCGGAGGCGAAGGGCTGGAGGGGGAGGGGGGGTAGAGAGAAGGACCTGCGCTCGGCGCGGGCTTCGCGCCCCCGCAATGTCCTCGGCGCCCACCAGAAGGCGCCCCAGCGCTCTCCTTCCCCGCGCGTAGCCGGATCCTCCGCCGAACCAGCCCGGGAGCTGAGCCGCGCGGAACCGCGAACTGAAGAGCCGGGCGGCGGCCCGACCTCTCCCGGCCCGGCAAGTGGAACAGGGTACCGGGGAGCCTCGGATTTGTTTCTGGGACTGGGGTGCGGCGGCTTCTGGACTCCGATCCCCACCTCCGCAGGAAACGCCCAGAACCACCCCAGCGCCTTGGTCTACAAAGCCCGGAGAGTCCGAAGGCGGGAGGGGTCGGGCGCGCTCGGGAGGCAGGAGGATCCCCCTCACTCTCAGCCTCACACCCGACTCCCCCATCAGGCCGCCTCCAGCCCCATGAGGACCCCCAGGCTGGGGCTGAGAGCCTGGCGCAGCCCGGACCGAAATCTTGCGGCGGCCTCAGAGCGTTAGACAGGTCAGTGCCCGGGCGGGATGAGGGGCCGAGCCGGAGGCGGGAAGAGGCGCGCACGCAGGTCCACCTTGTCCCCCCGCACAGCTTCCCGAGGCCACTCACGGGGTCACCTCCGCCGGGGCCACCCAGTAGCGCGGGCGTGATTCTGCATTTTTCATGACAGGCAAGGTGTGGCGCTGCCCTCTGCAGCCCAGCCGGGGCCAGGTGATGCTCGGACTGAGGGGTTGGGGGATGCGCGGGCCAGGGGAGGTGGCGGGCTCGGGAACACCCGCTATTCTGATAAAATGGTACTCTTCTACTTATGAGCCGCCGCATCGAAACCACTACCTCCAACGTTCTCTTGCTTCAAGATGCCCGGCCTCAGGCGTGAGAGGAAAGCAAGATGCGGGAGAGGGAGAGAAGAAAGGAGGCCGGGAGACCCGAGGCCCGGGAAGTGAGGGGAGGGGACAGGGGTACCGATTCGCTATGCAAATCCTGGCGCGCGAGATGTGGAAAGCCCCGGGTGGCCGGCAGGAACCTCCGGAAGCGCGGGGGCCCCAACCCACGCCTTCGCTCCCCACCTTTCTCACTCTCCCATCCCTACCGCCCACCCAGGATGCGGCTGGGCCGCCGGGCCCTCTGTGTGCTGGTCCTGCTGCTCGCCTGCGCCTCGCTGGGGCTCCTGTACGTGAGCACCCGGGTCGCGCCGGGCCTCCAGGCACCTCTTGCGCTGTGGACGCCCCTGCAGGGCAACCCCAGGCCAGAATTGCCAGGTCTTGCCCCCGAGCCCCGGTACGCACACATCCCAGTCAGGATCAAGGAGCAAGTGGTGGGGTGAGTGCAAGGAGTCGTGGTACTGGCACGGCACTCGCTGGGGGGTGGCGTGGGAAGCTCTTGTTTCCTCCACTGCTGAGCTCTGATGCCTGGGCTCCCCACGACTGGTTGCAGAGGGGTGAAGTGGGAGGTGGAGGGGGCCACTGAGTCTTGTGCTGGCGGGGGGACAAATCTGTCCTCCAAGAACCTTGTCACGGTACGGGGAAGGGAGGGTGTGCCGTCAGGGGAGGGCCCTGACTTTCTGAGTCCTGGTGATTCCCTATGAAAGGAGAGTCCAGGTGGGGTCCTAATGGCGTGTAGGCAACTCTGAACACCTAGCAATTGGCCCTATTCTACACCTCTGTAAAATCCAGATTTAGGGGATGCGTCATTCCTTTGGTGGTTCCTCCTCCTGGGGACTATTTGAAGAGCAGTGTTTAAGGGAACAGATTTTGGATGGACAGGGTTGAAAGGCCAAGATGTAGGTCCTGTGTAAATGTTCTGTGGGATAAGTGAGCTGCATGGCTGGGCTCTGAGGACCCTTCCTCCCGGCTCCAGGCTGCTGTCCACAAACAACTGCAGTTGTGAGTCCAGTGGGGGGAGCCTTCACCTCCCCTTCCAGAGGCAGGTCCAAGCCATTGACTTCACCAAGGCCTTTGACCCTGAGGAGCTGAGGGCTGCATCTGCCTTGAGGGAGCAGGAGTTCCAGGCCTTCCTTTCAAGGTACCGGTACCAGTGGGAAAGGAGGGCATGACTCTGTAGGGGGAGAGCAGGGGGAAGCCTGGAGGGTGGGTGTGGCAGGAGGGAGAGCCCGTCTCCCCCTGACTGCTCCTCTGTCCTCCCCCTCCTTCACTGCCAGGAGCCAGTCTGCTGCTGACCAGCTGCTCATAGCCCCTGCCAACTCCCCACTACAGTACCCCCTGCAGGGTGTGGAGGTCCAGCCCCTCAGGAGCATCTTGGTGCCAGGTGGGGAGAACGGTCCTAGGGGATGACCTAAGCCACGGTGGGGGGTGGCAGAGCCCAGGTTGGGTGAGGAAGAATGAGGGAAGATTGGAATGGGAGGTGGGAGACTTGAGGTCAGGGAGGGCTCATGAGGTGGGAGATGGGGACAGAAGGGACTCTAAGATTGTCAGGAATTGTAGAAGACAGTGACTGGAGAGGTTTGGGGAGAAGGGTCTATTCTTGCTGACTGGCCAAAGTTAGGTGAACAGGTAGGGCAGGCCACAGAAGAGCTACTGCTTTGATGGGAAGGAGTAAAAAATAAGTTACTCTAGGCTATGCCCCGCAATGTGCCCTGCTGTGGCCTCAACAAGAGGGATGCATGAGAAATTCTGTGCTGGGTGTAGTGAAAGAGGGAAGAGAAAATGAGGAATTCCAGATTGTCTGTGATTTTGATCCCCTCTCCTTCCTCCCAGGACTGAGCCTGCAGGCCACTTCTGGTCAGGAGGTATACCAGGTGAGAAGAAACAGGAGGGCGAGGAGGAGGCCAGGTGGGCATTAAGGATGCCGGGAGGGCAACAAAGCTGCCAAAGGAGGGATGGAGGAACCAGGGAGGCAAGAGGTGGGTCTGGGGCCTCACTCTGCACTCTCCAATCCCCTCTCCCAGGTGAACCTGACTGCCTCCTTGGGCACCTGGGACGTGGCAGGGGAAGTGACTGGAGTGACTCTCACTGGAGAGGGGCAGCCAGATCTCACCCTCGCCAGCCCAGGGCTGGACCAACTCAATCGGCAGCTGCAACTGGTGACTTATAGCAGCCGAAGCTACCAGGCAAACACAGCAGACATAGGTGCGAGGCCCAGGTGGAGGTAGTAACAGGCTGGGTGAACACAGGGAGCCCAGAAAGGCAGGAGCGAGCAAGTGGCAGAGGGTGTGGGAGACACTCGGGCCATGGCCAGCGCTGCCCAGCCACACAATGGGCATTTCAGCTGGGCCAGCAGGGCCAGGGAGGGAGAGAAGGGGCCTTTGTTCATCTGGGGCTGGAGCAGGCCAGAGGGAAACCCGAGCCTTGGGTGTGTCCCCCCTTCAGGCCAACCATGGGGGCCCCAGGAAGTGACCTGCCCCAGGAGCCAGAAGACTCAAGCTCTATTCCCAGCCCACCACTTACTAGAGGGCAAAGGGCTTTATCTCCCAGAGCCCCCATTTCTCCTCTAGCAAAAGGGGCATAACACAGTCCTCCTGCTTCTCTCCAAGGCTTCTGTACCAAACCTGCTCCCACTTTGGAGCCTTTGCACTTGCTGTTCCCTCTGCCTAGAATGCTCTTCCCGCAGATTTTTGCATAGCTGGCTCCTTCATATCATTTGGATCTCAGCTCAAATGGCTCCTCTTCACTATCACATTACTTGTCTTATTTTCTATTCAATACTTATCTGTATCTGAATTTTCTTACTTACTTAGCCTGGAACCAGACTGACTAGGTTCCTATCCCAGCTTTGTTGCTTAACAGTTGGGTAATTATGGACATGTTAACTTCTCTGTGCCTTCTTTTTCTGTAGTAGGAATCTACTTAATAGGGCTACTGTGAGGATTAAATGAGTCCATATATTTAAGGTAACTTTAAAAGTGCCTGGCACATAGTAAATGCTCAATAAAGGTTAGCTTTTTAATGAACTCTTTTATCATCTTTCTCCCACCCATTAAAATGTAAGTTCCATGGGGATAAGAACCTTGCATTCTTGTCTAACAGGACCTAGAAAAGTGCTACACAGAGTAGGCGCTTAAATATTGTTTTACTGAAAAGACAATGTTGTCCAAGCCCTAGGGGCCACATCTCATGTCCTTTCTTCCCAGTCCGGTTCTCCACCGAGGGACACAAAGTTGCCTTCACCATACGCATAAGACACCCACCCAGCCCTCAGCTGTACCCACCTGGGTCTCTACCCCTGGGAGGTGAGACTGGTATGTTCAGGGACATAGATCCAGCCCTGATGGGGAGCAAGTTGGGAGAGGGCGACAAGTTGGGAGACACCCCTGCGAGATGTCTTCCTGCTCTTCACTCCCTACTCTCCTCTGCACCTAACCCTGCCCCTCACTCCCAGCCCAGTACAACATCAGCGCTCTAGTCACCATTGCCACTAAGACCTTCCTTCGTTACAATCGGCTACGGGCACTCATCGCCAGCATCCGCCGCTTCTACCCGACAGTCACAGTGGTAATCGCCGACGACAGCGACAAGCCAGAGAGCATTAGAGGTCCCCACATCGAGCACTATCTCATGCCTTTTGGCAAGGTGAGCAGCCAGCGAGGCTGAACTGTGCGCCACAGGGCACCGGGAGGGGGCGCACCCTCAGTCTGCAGTCTCCACCATAGTGATTCCACGATTACCTGCCTCAGAGTCACTGAGGCGCCTGTTAAGCATGAGGATTTCTGGAATGTAAACTCCACGGGAGCAGGAATCGTGTGTCTTACCAGCGCTGCGTTCTGAGAATGGTGCTTAGCACCTAGTGGGGGGCTCAGTAGATAGTTGATGAATGAATGAACGCATGAATGAAATGCATTCCAATACCTTCCCCCAGAACACTGACTCAGCGCCTCACACAAGTGGGAAATGCATTTTTTACCTAGCTCCCGGCCATTCGTAAGCACTCGAAAGTTTGGAGAGGGGCATAGGCTGTTGAGAGGGGTCAGGAGTGAGGAGAAAAGGTGGCAGAGGGCTACGTTCTATCTCGACAGCATCGCCAACCGTACTTACCCTTCCCCAGGGCTGGTTCGCAGGCCGGAACCTGGCCGTATCCCAAGTAACCACCAAGTACGTGCTGTGGGTGGACGACGACTTCGTCTTCACGGCGCGGACACGACTGGAGAGGCTTGTGGACGTGCTGGAGCGGACGCCGCTGGACCTGGTAGGGGAGGGGCCTTGAGATGTAGGGTGGGAGGAGAGCCTTCGGCAGTCTAAGGCCGCGGCCGGCCGGTAGACCCGATTGAGGGCAGCCAGCCCTGGGACGGGAGGGGACGACGAAGCGGAGCCTGGGGCACTATCTGGGTCCTGCAGGGGAGAAGCGGGAAAGGACAGGGCAGGAGAGCCGCCCTGGAGGGGGAGAGGATCCCCTTCCGGTCCGCGCCCCGCCTGCAGCCGTCCTCCCGCCCCGGCAGGTCGGGGGCGCGGTGCGCGAGATCTCCGGCTTCGCCACCACGTACCGGCAGCTGCTGAGCGTGGAGCCCGGCGCGCCAGGCCGCGGGAACTGCCTCCGGCAGAAGCGCGGCTTCCACCACGAGCTCGTCGGCTTCCCAGGGTGCGTGGTCACCGACGGCGTGGTCAACTTCTTCCTGGCGCGCACTGACAAGGTGCGCGAGGTCGGCTTTGACCCGCGCCTCAGCCGCGTGGCGCACCTGGGTGAGTGGCGCTCCCTCCTGGCCGGGCCCGGCAGGGATCCCGCGGGGCGCTGGGCTGGGCTCGGTGCAGTAAGGCGCCAAGGGCCCTGGGTACGACTCCCCGACCACCCCCGCGGAGCCCACGGCTGCTACCGGGGCCCCTAGAGCAGTTCTACGAAGATTTACCAAGATCTGTGCCCGGGCAAGAGAGAGAGCTTCCACCCTCTCAGCCCCGAGCATCATTTAAACCTCCACAGCCAGTACAACTGCTGGGTCCGTCTTGAGCTTCCCCACCACTGCCACCTGCACCTTTATCTCGCTCCCAGCCGTATCCCTTGGTTCAGACCACCTCGGAGCAGCCCATTCGGCATTTATTGAACCTCTGCGTGTGTGTGTTGGGGGCGGGGCAGGGAGGGGCGGGGGGTGGGGCGGAGGATCAGTTTTCAAAGCACAAGGTAAGGATATTGACTCCATTTTATACAAGAGTAAAACTAAGACTCAAAAGGGTTGATTTACATGCCCAAGGTCCTTAGAAATGGGGTCTTTGCATATGCACCCAGCATATCCCAAATCTCAGTTCTCCTTTAACGGTGGGGCCTCTGTATCCTCAAGACCCTTCATTGTGTCCTCGCCTTTCCTCCACCCCCAGAATTCTTCCTGGATGGACTTGGTTCTCTTCAGGTGGGCTCCTGCTCAGACGTTGTTGTGGATCACGCATCCAAGTTGAAGTTGCCTTGGACATCACGGGACGCCAGGGCAGAGACTTATGCTCGGTACCGTTACCCGGGATCCCTGGATGAAAGTCAGGTGGCCAAACACCGCCTGCTCTTCTTCAAACACCGGCTCCAGTGCATGACCTCAGAGTGACGGCCACTCGGGGCCTTCCAACCGTCAGGCTGGGCCTACCTCCTTGCACCTGCCAGGAATATCTAGCAAAGCCCACCAGCCAGTGACCACTCCACTGACTGTCTCCAATCTCCTTCAGAACTGGATCCCAAATAGGGGCTTGTCCTGGTGACATTCCTCCTTTCTGCGAGTGCCCAGGGGCATGATGGAGCCATAACTCATCCCACAGCCAGTGCCAAGTCCTCCTCCCACCCCCTTCCCATAGGGCAGGAAGTGGGGGGTTGCTTTCCAAGTGCCAAAGAGCCCATGGGGACTCTAAAATCCTAAAGCGGAAACACTCTCATCTCCTTGGGACCAAGGGGGTGGGGAAGCCCCCAGTATATATTCCCAGGGCTGGGGCCTCCCTCGCATCCCTAGATCCAGGACTCTGTGCAGCGACTGCAGCCCCACCCCATGGAGAGAACTGGTGACGGGAGCTGGTGTGGGGACCAGTGAACATACAGGTGAAAGCCATTTTCAGTTGTGTCTCTGCAATGCTGTGCGCATGGAGGAATGGGGCCCCAAGGGTCTGTGTGCAGACACCCAGACTCACTTCATGAACCCCAGAGACTTTCAGCTTCATTTTATTAGTTACATTAAGTAAGGGGGCTCGGGGACCCTGGCCCTCCTCACACACATGCTTTTGGGACCCTCCACACTCCACATGACCGGGTCAGACCCACATTGTGCAAGTCTTTGGACCAGTGAGCTCCTGGAAAAGGGAAGGGACATGTCAGAAGTAGATTAGGTGCCCCCCTCCCTCACCCAAGATTTGGCAGACCTCTCAGGGGTACCCCGCCTGCTTTGGAACCTTAGTTCCTCAGTTCTTCACCCACAGCTGGGCCCAGTCTCCCTGGTTTAGTCTTATATAGACTAATCACTTCATCCCCACCCCTTTCCTTCATCTCCCTCCTCAGCCCCCTTCACAAATCCCTCTGCCTGGATCTTCAGTCACTGACTCACACCTCCTTTGCCATAGCCCAGCACCTCCTGGCTTCCACTCCCGTTGCTACTGCCCCCTCACCAGTCTCTCCAGGGCATATGCAGCTGCATCCTGGACACTCACAAACAGCTGTTCTGGGGTCACTCTATCCAGGAGTCCTGCCTGGGTCAGTGTCCCCAGCACTGAGGCTGTGTGGAGAAGGGGTCAGGCTCTCAGGTCCTACAACTACACCGTGTCCTCTTCCTTCCCTGCAAGCGTCCAGTCACTCCCCACTCTCCAGATCCCTCCATCCTCCACATCTCACCATTACACTGAGCCAGGAGAAGGTGGATCCCAGCATCTTGGCATCGGCTGGCCAGCTACGTGGGGCGGGGGGGAGGGCAGGGGGTTAAATCCTATATCAGAGAGTATTCGTGGGACAAGGGGACTTTCTCCTTAACCTACCCTCTCCCTCACCTGAACCACTTCTCTGGCCCCTGCAGCATCTGCAAAGGTGACACCACTGCAGTCTAGGACTACCACTCTGACAGGCTCAGCAACTAGGATGGCAGAAGGCAGGAGTACCCAGATGCCTCCATGGGTCGTGCCCAAATCTCCCTCATTGTCATCCCATCTCACCTGCATCAGGTGGGCCGTCTGTCTTTGGAGCCTCCTGTGAGTAGAAAAGGGTAGTCACCATCTCTGAGACACAAGCACGAACATGCACCCCTTGAGCACAATGACCCCCCCCAGAACACCCACCTGTCTCCCACCCCCAAAGAAGCCACACGCCCCTTTGACCAAGTCCCTCACCTTGCCTCCTTCTCCAAGCCCCAGGTGCCACTCCAGGATGCGGCGAAACTGCCCACGGGTCCCGAAGTAGAGCGGTGTTGGATAGCTCAGGATGCAGAGCCCTGGGACCTGGAGGAGCTAAGGGGTCAGAGGGTCAGTGAAACATCCGAGTCTAATCTTCCCTTCCTTCTTCGGCTGTAGCCCACCCACCTTGTGACTCTCTCTGAGTGGCCTGTAGAGCTCTGTCCCCTCAGCCAGTCCAAGTGCCAGGCACTGTACCCTGGGCGGGAAGCTGGGGTCAGATTCCCAGCCTGACCTGGCTGGAGAGTCACCCCAGGCACTCTTTTCTCTTCCCTCCGCTCATCTTGACTCCCCTCATCTCTACTCCCACCTCTGGGTGCGGCAGACCACAGTCACCATGGAGAAGACCACACCTACAGCCAGGCCCAGGTCCACACTCAGGGTCACGACAGCCACCCATGTGACCATCCACACAGCCTGCAGGACATGGATGGGAGCGAAATGACCAAAAGAAATGCCAGGCCATCCCTGCCAGGGAAAGGGGTCCAGGGGCAGTGACTGCCGGGGCAAGTGATGGGGAGGGATGGCCCGGGAGAAAGTAGAAACAATGACAGAAGGAAGGAACGGGATGGACCTAATAGGGGATACACACCAAGTGTAATGACCCCAGACCTTGAACCATCTGGGGAGTTACAAATATTCAGGTCTGAAGAGGTTCAAGCTCCACCCTTCACCTTGTCTCTGAGTAAAGGGATTAGGAGGGATACATGTTGGGGGGGGCGGTGGGTTGCAGAACTTAGGACTGGGACAATTAGCTTCGATCAAGGGCAGAGGCTGGGGACGCTGGTAAATGGGAGGGGGCATCCGAGGGTAATGCTGCCATTTCTCACAAAGTCCACGCGGCTGATGCGCCATAGTTGTGGAAGTTCTCGCATCTGGAAGAACATCTGGCGCATGCTGGAGATGTTGATGCAGGCCAAGACAGCCTTGGGGCAGAGGAGGTAAGCTGACCACCCCAGTGTGGAGGGATGTCGCCACCCATCCCAGCCACCCCTCCACCTCCTCTGCTGCTTACCTTGGGCAGATAGTAGAAGAAGGGCCCCAACCACAGCAGGACAGACAGGACAACCATACAGGAGAAGAGGCCTGCCACCTAGAGGGAAGGAGGGACGGAAGCAAAGAAGGGAGGGAACCTCACCCACCCCCGCGTGAGAGTTGGTCTCCCTGCCTACTCTGCCTCATCCTCCTTGGAAGTCTCCCTCCTCCCAAATCCCCTTCCACAATGATACTCCTCACTCCTCAACCCCCTGCTTGATATTCTGCCGCTCACACCTACCTTCCCCTTCCCCAATTAAATGCCTGTCATTTGCTGGTCTGCCCCAAGATGCAGTTCAACATCCCTATTTTTGTAGCTGACCTCCATCTTTTTTTAAAATTTTATTGGAGCATAGTTGATTTACAATGTTGTGTTAGTTTCTGCTGTACTGCAAAGTGAATCAGTCATACATATATATATATATATATATATATATATATATATATATATATATATATCTCCATTCTTTTTTGGATTCTTTTCCCATAGTCATTACAGAGTATTGAGTAGAGTGCCCTGTGCTATGCAGTAGGTCCTTATTAGCTATCTATTTTTATATATAGCAGTGTGTATATGTCAGTCCCAATCTCCCAACTTATCCCTCCCCCACCAGCCTACCTTCATCTTAAAAGCCATTGTTGGATGACCCTAAAAGCAGGTTAATCACATGCTTAGGGCACCAACAAAGTACAAGAAACCAAAAACATTAGGGAGAGACTTTGATATGTGATATTTCTTTTTAAAAGAAAATGTCCTCACAAGGAAAAACACCAGAATTTTGTTTCTTAAATTTATTTTCCAGATAGTATTGTTCTTATTTTGAACTGCACATAGGGCACCATAAACTTTTTCAGTGCTTAGAGTCTACAAAGGTCTTAATGTACCTTTCTTCTCTTCTATACCTCCTACCCAGGTAATCCCATCTCCTCACTCACCTTCCCTCACAGAATTCCATCCTTCTCTATAGAGCTGCCAACTGGGGATCTGCCAATCTTCCACTTGTTCCACCACCACCCAACCTGGATGCCCCTCCCCCCTTCTCCTCACCCAGGGACGTGCTCTTACCTGTGTGTTCCCACCAGCATCCACTAGTAGGCTGGTTGTGGCCAATGTGGCCGAGTTGGGAAAGCAAGAGAAGAGGGAGGAGATGAGGTTGGAGACACCATGTGCAAAGAGCTCCTGGAGGGATGCAGTGAGATGAAGAGGAGACAAAGGCATGGCTGGGAGGGGGGAATCCCATTAGGGGGCTGTCCCCTGAATGAGGTTGGGGTCCTCACTCAAAGTCACACCTGGTTGGAATCAATAGTGTAGCTGTACTTGTCTGCATAGATGGAGGCCAGGGAGGCAGACACTGCAAAGGTAACCAGTGCCATGGGCAACGAGTCGGCCAGAATCCTGGGCAGCTCAGCCAGGTTGGGGAGGAGAGGCCGGGGAAATCTAGAGAGAGAGGAATCCATGGTGAGAATGGGTTGGGTATAACAAGGATATGAGCAAGAGAGAGGAAAGGGCAGGACAGGGGAAGGTGCTGGGTGGGAGAGTTGTGAGGAAAGAAAACTGGTGCCTTTCCATTCTCTCTTACCCTCCGGGCAGCAATCCAACTATCTGGATGTTGTATCTTGTGTCCAGGGAAGAGGTGAAGCAGAGCACGGAGGCCAGAAGCACCTGGGAAAGAGAGCAAATTAGAGCATGGGAGGAGACAGGCCCCTGGCAGATGCTGGAAGGAGCTCAATATGAGAGAGGATTGCAACGCAGGATTAGGTGGTTGCAGGAGCCCAGCAACTGGGGTAGCTGGGATGTTTTGGGGATGGATGCCTAACAACTGGTTTAGAGTGAAGGAGGTTGGGGATGGGAAAGAAGAATGATGTATGCCTGGAGCTATGGAGAGAGAGGGACAGGAAGAAGTAAGAGGGGGCTGCTATGAGGGATGGTGGATATCAAGAGGTGCAATCGAGCCATTCTAAGCAGGGAAGCTGGGTTATATCAAGGGATATATGGGGTATCCGTGGAGACGAGGAGAGCCTGTTTAGTTGGGGCGGGAGAGAGAAATGTAGGTGGACGCGGGGAGGAAGATAAACCGTGAATTACAGTGCGGGACCGGCGAGGGGAGAGACGGGAGCGAAGGTGCCGTGGCGAGCGACACCGCAAGGGGGCGCTGTAAGGAGGAAGAAGGCTTTCTAAGAGGCCTACAGCCGGCTTTTTGAGAGAAGGGGGGACGTTTGGGTGGGGGATTCCCGAGGGTCAAAGTGTTCTGGGAAGAGGCCTGGAAAAGTACACATGTAAGCAGGACCTCTCATCTGTGACCTCTCTGCACTCCATGAAGGGGCGGCAGCGGCCAGTTCCTACCGGACGGGCAGGGTCTGTGCGGTGCACGGGGCTGGGACCCCATCCTCACCATGACGATTTCCCCTGGGATCGGGGTGGGTAGCCTGTCTCGGAACCTCACGTTCAATTCCTTGACGGGCACGAGCAGCGCCAGGCTGAGCGCCGAGACGGTCAGTTCGGCGGGACTGCTCCGCGGCAGCGCCGTCAGCACGGCGGCCAGCGTCTACGGGCAAGGGCAGTGAGCAGAGGGCCTGGGGCCAGGGTCGACTGCCCCCAGCGCGGACCCGCCAGACTGAGGCGAGGCCTCTCCTGGCTCCCATCAGGGCTTCCACCTCCTCAGCGACCCTCATTCAGCCACGTGGTTCTGACCTTTTCTCCGCCCATGCCACACACTATCCCTCCACTCGCCCCCACTTCCTTTCTTTATGGGCTTCCCTCTTCCCAGGACCGCTAGAAGCCTCTTCGCTCTTCTCCCACCCTCACCTTGAAGAGAGCGAAGCAGCCGATCTGACGCGGGAGGGGCAACCCCAAAAGGCTAGGCAGTTGGGACACGAGCACGTGCAGGGCGGCCCCACTGGTCAGCGCCTTGACTACAGGCTCCGACAAAAAGGTGGCCAGGACGCCGAGCTGCAGCGCGAACATTCCCAGCTGCAGGGGAGAAGATGAGCCATCACCACTGGAGAAGGAGCAGACCAGCCCCGGCGCAGTGCACCAGCTTGTCCGCGCACCTCTCCCGCCTAGACCGGTGCTGGAGACTTGTCCCTCCCTCTCCCCTGGCCCAATTCTCCGGGCCCCCAGCGTGGATTCCCTCAGGGTCCTCCCCCAAGGTCCTCCCTCACCATCAGTGCCCCGCTCCCGAAGGCCATGGCCGCAGCCGCACCAACCCGCTGAGCATCCAGCTGTTCCCTCTCAATGCCACTCAGGTTCCCCTCGAGGGGTTCAGGCACCAGCCGCTCCACGGCCGAGCCCGTCATAAGGCTGAGTACCGCGAAAGTTCCTAGGGCCGGGGGCCAAACGCAGAGATCACCAGCTGTGCCACCTGGGGCGCGGCGACAGCCCAGGCTTCGCGCTCTCCGCCCAGGATGCTGCCGTCAGACGCCCTCTCCTAGAAGGCTTGCTGCTCAGGTGAAGACTCTGGGGCCAAGAGCTGGTGCAGCAGCCCGGAACCAGCGGTGAGGGAGGAAAGGAGGGAGCGCCCGCCGGGAAAAAAACTGCTCCCAACTGCGTCACTGCCCCCTCCTGCAGACGCCCTGGGGACTGCCTGCTCCTTTGGGCGACAGAGTATCTCCTCTCCCCTCTTCCAAGTTGTAGAGACGTTCATTTTAACCAAATTTCATGGAGGGGAAAAGTCCGAGTAAACTCCCGCCTCTTTGCACCCACTCAGCACCCGCAGCGAGCACTGTCTAGGTCAGAGGTTCACGGCAGTGTAGCGGCAGAGGCGGAAGGGAAGGTGGGGGGCGTGAAGACGGGAATAAGGGCGAGGGAGCTTACAACAACGGAAGCCTCAAACCCCTGTCCTTTCCACCCCACAGAGAAGGAGAGGAGTCACTGGGTCACTCACCGGTGGACAGGTGTCTCCCAGTACCCAACAAGGTGTAGATGAGGACGGGAAAGAAAGAAGTGTAGAGTCCGAACACTGGGGGCACAGAGGTCAGGAGGGCAAAAGCCATGCCTGGGGGAGTAGTGGAAGGAAAGGTCTCCGGTGTGTAGGTTAGGCGGCAGGGTGCCCAGCCTCCAGGACTGTCCTTCCCTTCCCGCACTCTTAGAGGCTGGCCCGGGGACTCTAAATCCCGCCACATGAGGGAACTGAGGGGTTAACGGGCCTCGATGGGAGGTCGTGGGGCGGACAAGGTCAGAGATCTGTGTCGGCCGCGTCCTGGGGGGCAGGCGTCCTGCCTCTCTCCAGTTCCCTGGGCCGGACCGTGTCCAAGACTTCGCGCATAATTGCACAGATGAGGGGAGCTGGGGGTGGGGATCTGATGGAGCTCCACTGTCCTTACCCAGAACTTGGCCTCAGGTCCCTGTCGCCGAGCCCTCAAGCCACACTAACCCACCACTTCGCTCCCGGTTCCCAGGCCCCGTGCCAACCCGAAGCCCTCTAGAGCTTGGGCCCCTGACAGGCTGCTGCTGGCGCCGCTCACCCTGGGGCACGTGCACGATGCCCACGGTCACTCCGGCCACCGCATCCCCGAGCAGCCAGGCCCGCCAGCGGTAGTGGGGCAGCCAACGCAGCGGGGGCAGCCGCGCCCGCAGCAGGGGCCACGGCCCCGGTCCGGAACAGGCGCGGGCCCGCCGCTTCCAAAGCCGGCGCAGCCGCGACCAGCGGGGCTCCGCGAGTAGCTCGGGCTCCTGCTCTGCGTCCCCGAAGAGCTGCTGAAACCGGGCCTCGGTAAGAGGTTCCCTGAACTTGGCGCCCAGGGGGGACTTAAGGTCGGAGGCCTCTCCCGGACCTGGGCAGGTGCTGGCACCGGGTAGCCCACTCATTTTGCCCTCTGCCACCTCCAACTCCGCCCAGTCTTAAATACCCCTCCGCCCGCGGGCCCCGAGTCCCGCCTCCGCGAAGCAGGGTCCAATCCCGTCCCGGAGGGCGCCCTCTCTTGGGGACCTTCTACAGTCAGGAGCCGGCTGCGCCTTGGGGAGGGGGTGTCTCTACGTTAGGCGTTTCCTCAGACATCCTTGGCCAGATCGCTCGCTCTGCAGCCTGCTATGGGGGGAGGGATGGCCGTGGAAAGGGTTAGGAGCCAGAGAGGCAGGGCGAAAGACAAACGCGCCCCATCACCCAACACCCACTATTTACCGCTCCTAGGTCTTTTGACTCCCGCCTTCTCGCTCCCGGTTCCTTTCCGCATCTGCACCTTGGGCGAAGACAGACGCTGACTCCTCTAGGGTTACTGGTCATTCCCAGGGCCGCTGCATTGCCCACAAGAAAGTTCAGCGGCGTTCCAACTTCCCTTCCCCGCCCCCCCCCAGACCCAAATCCTCATGGGGCGCAGCTTGTCCCCAGAAAGTGTAAGGGGCTCCATTGGCCTCAGCTGTTTCACAAACTATCTAGATGGGAAGCAGCTGCTATTGGATACGGATGGATAGAGAACCGCCCTGCCACACACACACCTCTGCTGGGAGTGGCTGGGCCTAAATTCCCAGTTCAGGGCCTCAGGGGGAACACTGAACAGACAGGGAACTTTGATTTTATTTCTCAGAAGCCAAAAACACTGAAGCACTGTTTATTACGTTCCAGTGCTATTCACAAAGTAGGCACTCAACAACACGTATGTGGTTAAATTAAGTACAAAAGGGTCACCCACCCACCTCATGTACCCCTGTGGTCCCTAAGGAGATTCAAAGGTTCTGAGCTCCAGAATTCTGTTATTTGCCCCATCCCCTCCTCCATTCACACGAATCCTTAGCAGCCCTCCCCAGTCCCTGACCCCAAAGCCCTGGGGGTGGGGTACAGTGAGGGTGGGTCTCCCCTCTTCAATTCCTCCTATTGTTCCCCAGAAGTCTTATCTGGGCTGTACGTCCTGTCCCCTCCACCTTAGAGGTCCCTCCCCCCATTGTGGCCAGAGAGACCTCAGGCCCACAGGGAGACTCCAGCTCTTCCTCACCCTCCCACCCCAGCAGTCTATTGTCTGCTGAGGAAGCTCAAGTACACGTGACTGGGCCCAGGGGACGGATGGACACAGTGGACACACCGATGCCCAAGGACCCAGGACAGGGCATCTGGACACGGATCTCTGCACGTTTGGCTCTCTGTCCCAGGGGCTGTCCCAGAAGTTGGGAGAGGTGAAGACCCCTTTGGGCTCTCCGCTCTTGGGTCTGTGGCTTGAAGAAGAATCCCTTCCTGCTCAGTATGGATATGCCTTACAACCTCCCAGACAGCAAAAGTAAGGACACCCAGAGCCAGAAGGGGACACAGCACCCCAGCATCCTCTCACCTCCCCATGTTCCCTGAGCTGAACATGGTGGCCCCAGAAAGAAAGGTACATCGGGCATTCGGAGCTTTAGAATCTGGGTGTTGGGGGGAATGGTGGGAAGTCACCCCACAGCGGGCTTTCCAGTGGGGTCTAGAACAGAGACCAGAGGGGAGGGAAAGAGGGACTGGGCAAAGGGGAGGATACGTCAAGGTTCTAGGGTTTTCCAGTAGCCCTAAGCTCCAGGTCTAGACTGAGAGTTGCTGCAACCGCAGGTGAGGGACAAAGATAATGACATCTTTTATCTTACATCCCGCACCCTTCTCCTTTCACCAGGCCCCTCCTCAAGTGACTGATCTGAGGGGCCAGCTGATCTCTTCCATACCCCTTTACCCCACTTACCCCTACTTCAGCTTCCCCTTCCCTCTGCCAAGACAGCAGCTTTAGTGATATAACAAAACCTTTATTCTCAAAAAACAGAAAAAACAAAATCAAAAACAAAACCAATAGTTTCTGTCTGGCCCTTGCCCCAGCCCTCCTACCCACCCACATTTCCTCCTTTTGGGGGGGACCTGTGATGCATGCATAGGGGTGGGGACTGAAGGAACCTACGTTTCTTGGGCAGAAAGAAGTCTTTCTGAGTCTAGGTTCCCTCCTGCAAGTTGACACTCCCAGCCTCGCCCACCCTCCAGATACACCAAGAGGGAGGAATTCTGGGGCGCTGCCAGAAGGATTGCCCTGAAGTTCCTGGGGGAACGGAGTGGCTGAGTCAGCACCACCCCCATGGCCTTCACCAGTTACAGCTCATCTTCATCCAGCTTGGCAAGTCTGGCTTGGCAGGGGGCGGCGTTTGGAATTGGTGGAACTGGAGGAGAGTCATGAGGAGCTTGGGGGATGTCCCTGGAGGCCTGAAGAGAGACTCAAGTCAGAGGACCACAAAAGTTCAGGAATCCACCCTCACTCCTCTCTTGTCAGTGTAAGCCCTAGTCAAGCCACCCCCTCTTGCCAGACATCTTAGATTATCTGAGACCATCAGCTTCTCTCAGGGTTAAACTGGAGTGGGGGAGGGCAAGAGATGGGAAGTAGGAAGGGGCAGACAAAAGGAAGGTGGTGGAAGAAAGGAATGATACAGGGGAAGGAGGTTTGGGGATCCTGGAACAAGAGAGGACCTCCCCATTCTGCCCTTACAACCAGGGAATTCCATTCCTCATACCTGTGTGTCCAGGGACAGGGGGACTCTGGCCACCTGCCCTTTGGGAAACAGCAGCAGGGAGGGAAGAGAGCCATTGATGGGTGTGTGTGTGCTGACCTGGGCCCGATCTCCAGGCCGAATTCTCCCGGGGCTCCCCACCCCAGGACCTCCTGGCCGTCCCAGGCTGTTTGTCTGGCTCTCCCGTCTCTGGTACTCAATGGGTGACTGCAGTGCTGGGGCAAACAAAGGGACAGAAGGAGGGTTACAGCAGAGACACGCCCTTTCCCAGAGGCTCTGCTCTCAAGGACTGTCGGCCAATGTAAGTCGCTTGAGGCTTTAGGGGATTCTGAGTTACTAAATCTTGAGCTAGTTGTGGAAAAGTGAGGATGAGGGATGGGGAGAAGCTGGGGTGAGGGCAGGGACTGGAGATTGGGCGGTGAGGGATTCAGGAGATCCAAGGACCAAGGGAGGATGTTGGGGAGGGAGGGTGAGAGCTTCACCATTGAGAAAGTCCCGCTGGCTTTCCAGGATCTGAGCCACTTGCTTGATCCAGGCCTGACTGACCGCAGGGTCTGCAGTTTGCAGGACATAGCGCTGGATCCCACCCTCTGGCCCTCTGGAGGTCAGTGCAAAGCGGCAAGGGTCGCCTTGGAGGTTCCCCTCCAGTCCCAGGCAGCTCACCTGGATTGGCAAATAAGAGGTAGCCCCCAAATTCTTCAGGCCCTCTCTGGTTCCTGTCCCCTCCAACAAATCCAAAGAGGATGTGAGGGGCCACCGTCCTCTCAGAGGCCTCCCCTATCCCAGTCAGACCTCTCCCTTGGGACACCCTCCCCACCTTGATGCTGCTTTTGTACACATATCCAGGCTGCGTTCCACCTCTCACTCCTCCTCCCAGGGCCTCGCTGAAGATGATGATTTGCTCAAAGAGGAAGACACGTCTCTCTCGACCCCGAGAAGACAGCAGCCCCCCAGCCTCGGGCTCTGTGACCCAGAATGTGTCCTGGCCCAAGAGCTTCCCCTGAGCAGTCAATTTGCCCTGAAACCAAAGGAGAGTGGCCTTTGAGAAAAACAATAAGAGAAAAGGGGCAACTCTCTGCTCCTCCCTCCTTCCCCTGACACTCCCAACCAACCATCTCCTGTCAGCCCCAGGAGAGCACAGTTCCCTGTAAGGATCTCCTGAGTGCTCAGCCTGGGGCAGAAGAGCATTGCTCCATCCCTGTACCTCAAACCCCCGCAGTCTCCCCAGGGTCATCATGTCATTACAGCGCTTGGGTACGAAGCACATGACCTCCACAGCTTGCTGGGACACAAGTGAAAAGAAGAGCACTGTCATCATTGGGAAAGAGGCGTCTTCAGACCATGTCTCTATCGCCAACCAGCCTTCCCCTTCACCACCCGTGGAGCTGGAGGAACCCAGGAGACTAAGAAGATGAGGTGTGCGTGGTGTGTCCTGTGAGATCTGGGAGTACTCACCTCCAGCTCTTCAGTATCCATCCCAGCTCTACTATAATACTTGAGAAAATCCTAAGACACAGAGAAGAAATGCTCAGGGAGGTTATGAGAACATCCTCAAAAGCCCTCACATCCTCCCCTGAGGACACAGGTGAGGGCCCCCCGGAAGTCTGGGTGGGGAGCCTTAGGAACCCTGGGGAGACGAATGAGGAAAGGGCCATCCCAACCAGCCGTGCCCCCAGGGAACAGGTGGCCCCGACCTTGAGCAGCAGCTGGTATTTCATGATCCTCTGCACTGGTTTGATGAGGAGGTCGTTGAGCTGCAGGCGGTGCCCTAGCTGCTGCCGGAGCTCCTGGGGACAGGGACAGATGGGGTGGTTTTGCAGCCTGGAAAGCCTGCTCATGCTGACGATTCTGTCCCCCTTTCCCCAAGGTATCTCAGCCACTGACCTCAAAATAGCTGTCCCCAAATTCTGATACCACATGCTCTGACTTGGGCTTATTCTGACAGTACACCACGTACATATGCAGGCGGCGCTCCTAACAGGAGTAAAATTCAAGCAAGAGTAGAGTGAGTGAGGAGAGAGGGCACATCTCCAGAAAGTCCTGACCCACTCCCAAGCCCCTCCCCTCCTGGGCCCCACTCTCTCAAGCCTCACATGTTTGATGAATAGCTGAGCCAGCCAATCAGGATCCTTCAAACACCTCTGTAACTCCTGCAGGAAATAGCTGGAGGGGTAGGGAGGGAAAAGGTTGGTCAAATACCCCTACTCCAAGCAACTCAGAGCTGTCTGCCCTGGTAGTGTTCCCCGCGAAGTCTCTCCAAACATTCCTCAGGCAACAGTGGGCCCGTGGGTAGGATACAGAGACCACCAGACATACGCCCCTTCCCCTCGCTCTCAGGGGTCCATCACTCACTCTCGATGCCACTCGTAGATTTGCTGGATGTTCCCAAACACAATCCTGTCACGACCTCGAAGGTTCTCGGGTACCCCCTGAGCAGCCATGGTGGCCATGTAACCCTGTGGGAAGGTTGGGTGGGAACATGAGTGTGTGGAGCCAGTCCTGGTGGGAACCTCCCCTCCCCAAGAAGTCCAGGATGTAGGGGAGACTGGGAAGGTGGGACAGAGGAGCAACAAGGCATCTCCTAACGTTAGCCCTGGGGAGAGGGAAAGGGCTGGGCCAGGGCTGGGAAGGGAAAAGGGAGCTACCTCTACAATCTGCCCCAAGTCGTCCACGTACATTTTCTCTGTCTCTACCAGTTCACTCAGGACGTACCTGGGAAGAGAACAAGTTTAGCCACTTCCTCCCTCCTGGACTAGAAGCCCCTTCATTACCACAGCCAACCTCAGGGGAAATTCCAAGTCTCAAATCTAAAATGTGAGAGACAATCCTCTGGAAGTTGCGCGACTGCGGGGGTCAGGGATAGAGAGTGTGTGGACACTTACATACTCCTTTCCAGAGCCTTCTTCTGGTCCTCTTCGCTCTCAGGGGCTTGGGACAAAGTCTCCTCTTCAGGTGGCTGTAAGGAAGAACATCCCAGAGTAAGCAAATGGATGCCTCTTGGGTGAGGGAAGCCACGCCAGACTCATGTCTTCATACCTGCGTCTTATCCCCAGGGCCCCCCAACAATGTGGTCAGCAGGGTCAGTTCTGGCAGCTCCTCTCCTGTGGCTAAAGCTGGTTCCAGCATCCAGTTCTGGGGGCCAGAGGTCAAGTCTCAAAGGTCAGGGACAGTAGCTGTGTCTCCCCAGTGACCAGTGGCCCCCTCAACCTGCCCTCTCCCGGCACCCTTCATGGATGTCCTACATGCTTCTCTGGTGCTCCCTCCTCACCTCATATGGTCCAGCCTGGCCACCTTCTGCCTCAGTTTCCACACTGAGACAATGTTTAGAATGATCCAACCATCTTCTCAGGCCACTGACTGGCCCTGGGGGTCCCGGGGAACAGGGGCCAGAGCTGAGGCCAGAGCTGGGGCCAAAGGGAGCAGCCAGACCCGAGGCAGCTGAAGCCGAGATACTCCCCTCACTGCCAGCAATGGAATAGGATTCTAAGGGGGTGGGGTAGGGGGAGAAAGGGGGTGATAAATTTTGCTTCAGTTCCAGATTCAGGTTCCCTAGGGAGCTCCGAGAGTCTCTGCTCTGTGATGCTCAGCCCCTCTCCCTCAGGGCTCACTTTCTTGCCATCCTCATTGGAGTTGGCCAGGAGAGAAAATTTCACCAGGACACCCTTGGGAAGAAGGACAGAAAACACCTGGCTCCCTAGGCCTGGAACCCCCAGTTACATGTGGGGGTTCCCCCATATCTGAGCATGGCACCAATATGGGGGTGAGGGCAGCCATCTGGGAAGACACTGGAAGCTGGGGGTGGCCATCTGCTCTCCTACAACCCTCCCCCTTGCAATGGGTACAGACCATTCTCTGAGAAGGGTGGTGGCGGGGCGGGGGGGAGAAAAAGAGCTTAAGAGCCCATCTGCCACCCCCAGACCCCTCCTCCACCAAGTGCACTAGTCACTATAAAAAGAAAAGACCTCTGCAGCCCACCTTCCCAGCACATGCACAAACCCAATAGAGGGGGCAAGTGAGGAGAGCTCATCGGTGTTATCCTTGGCCTGGGCTCAGGGACAGCGGAGCTGTGATTTGGGAAAAAGCCCCTGGTAGACCCCCCTCATCCCTCATTCCTCCATCCCCCTGTCCTTCTTCAGATCTGAAGTAGATTCTCAGCAGAAGGATTTCAGGGAAGATGTGGTCTAGGCATAAGGGGATTGTGGATGGGTTTTTCTCACACTCAGTTGAGAGGAGTCCCCTGCCCCTTCCCCAATTTCCTTAACTTTTAACTGTTAGAAATTTGAAGGCAAGAGGGGATCTTAGAGATCATCTATTAGGTCACTTTCCTGGAAAACACAGGTATAGTCTCCAGCCTCTAAATCCCTAGGGCCGGGACAGACACAAGTCCTGAACCCTCAGCCCGCCCCCCCACTCAACACTGGGCCCTCGCGACCTTACACTCACCATGTCCCCCCCGGGCGAAGCAGCAGACGCATTTTGCCAGCACTTTTCGGATCACGCGGGGACAGGCACAGCGACCCCCCTTTTGCCCCCCCCGCATGGCGCCCGGGCCCCCCCACACCCCCGACCCGGGCAGGCCATGCAGGGGGAACCACGGGGGGCGGGGACGGCGCAGGGCGCACACCCCCCCTCCCTCCTACCCCGCTCCAGGCTGGGGGAGGCGGGGGGAGGGAGGGAATAGGAAGGGGGGGGTCCAGGGGTAGGCGGAAGTCTGGTCTGGAAAAGGGCTGGGGACTCTGTAGAGAGGGCGACGCGGGGCCGGGCCGCCGAGCTGGGCGGGGAGGGTTTCCGGAACCCAGTCGGTGCGGGGGCCCAGGGTCCAGATGTCCAGCGGGAAGGGGAGGGATGGTGGAGGAGGCTGGGCCGGGATGCGGCAGCCGCTCCAGCTGCGTCTCCGGCCTCCCGGATTGGGGGTAGTTCTAGGCCTGGTCAGGGGAGGAGGCGGGGGCCGACTCCCCGAGTCACTGGCGCTGCGCGGGTCCCCGCCGAGCGGCGAGCAGAATAACAGGCCCCGCCGCCGGGTCGCCGCGGGGAGGGGCCTCTGCGGCCCAGCTCCGCCTTCTCCCTCGCTTTCCCCCTTCAGCCAGTGCTGGGTTCCCGCCCCAATTCCCCCTCCCCCAGGCACCACCTCGTACCCACTCCAAGTCCCCAACGCCTCCGCCCCTCCTCTCTAGCCTGGGCTCCCCAGCCCCGGGTTCCCCCTCCCTCCCGCATCTCCGGCTCCGACTGCGGAGCACTGGCGTGGGGGTTAAGCCCGGCGGCGGGGTCGGCTAGGGTCGCCCCTCGGCCTCTGCGGCGGAGAAGGGCGCGGCGGATGGGGCCTTAGCCTGTGCGAAGAGGTCCTGGGGTTGAGACTGTCTCTAGCCGCGCAGGGGTGGACAAGGTCCCCCAGTAGGGGATGCGTGAATGGGGAGCTCTTTGTGGGGAACACAGCCCGGGTGCCGCCCTCTCGCCGGACCCTTCTTTCCTCCAGGCCCCGGGACTCCAGCTGAGGCTAATCACCAATTAAGGAGAAGTCCTGGAGACTCGGCTGGCGAGGGGCCAGGGGTGGGGCGCGGGGACACTACGCCAGCGGGGGCTCGGGACCCGCTGAGGTGGGGGACACACAGCGGGCTAGAGGGCGAGAAGAAGCGTGGAGGTCTCAGCGTCTATATGGGTCTCATGCAAATTAGATGCGAACCTTTATACTAATACGAGCAGCATATTTTTTAATTCGCCACTTTGCGCAGGATGGCAAACTGTGCCCCACCCCACCCCTAGCTTCTTACCGGGCAGCGGAGCCCAGGCGGGGACCTCGCGTTCGCGCTCCCCTCTCTGATTCCCCTCCGTACAGTTAGATTCTGGCTCGGTCCCCCCCAGCCCTAGGGGGCTTCTCTTCGGGGGCTGCGGGGACAGAGTGATCGTAAGAAACCCGCCCTCCACGGCCAGCCTAGACCTCCCGCTTCCCCTTCTCCCTCCTGTCAAAATCCACTTTGTTATAAAAGGGTCTTCGCCAAGGCTGGGGTGGAGGGAGCAGTTTACCCAAGAACGTGCCTATGATGCTCTTAATGGAACTTTTGGATTCCTGCGACTACCCCGAAGGATTCTTGTTTGCGGGTAAATTGAGTTTGTGGGGTGCAGCCAACCTGAAGCCCCCTAAAGACCCCCGACCCCACCGTGGTCCCCCTTTCTTACCCCCTCCTGCCCGGGTAGGGCGCATGCGCGCAGCATGCCCCCCATGACCCCCAGTATCCGGTCAGTGCGGCCAGGGGCGGGGCGCTCCGGGGGCTTCATGCTGGACCCCTACCCTCCTCCAAGTTTCAGAGCCGAGGGGGCACGGAAGCTGGGGGGCTCTGAGGCCAGCGTGCGTCCGGGGAGTTGCCGCCGCGGAATCCACCCCCTGCCAGGCTCCGCCCCCACTCCCACCCCAGCCAAACTTTTCAAAAGGGGTAGGGTTGTTCCTTTCTCTGCAACTGTAGTTCAGCAACAAACCCCACTTCATCCTGACTCCGCTGTCGAAGCACGATCCAAGGCTTCGCAGTTTTATCTTGGAGCCCACTAAGTACCTGCCGTTTTCCCAGGCCCTCTGGAGGCAGAGAGCCTGGGGAGGCGCCCAGGGAGTTCCCGATCACCACCCCCTTCTCCCTCTCAGCAGGTCCAGCTCCTCACCCCACCTCCCAACCCCCCACCCCCGGCCCACAGAACAGAACGGGTGTGGCATAGAGAGTTGCATATTTTACTTTATTTTTATTAAATTAAAAGCTACAGTCTGGCGGCGATTCCAGAACAGGGTAAGGAGGCTCCTTCTAGGGGGCAGAGAAGAGTGGGAGAAAGACTGACAAAGACAGAGACACAGGAGAGAAAGGACAAGGTTAAGGGAGAAGGGGTATTGTTTCTGAAGAACATATGCGGCCGGCTCTACGGGGGCTCACAGCAGCCTGACCCCCCTCCCCGAGCAGAAATTCAGCAGTGGAGCAGTATGGGGGGGGGATCAAGAGACCCTCTCCTCCCCACCCAGGTCCTTTCTCAGCTTAGTCACTGGAGCACATCACAAACCAGAAAAAGCCAAGGGCAATGGAGGGGGCAGGAAGACTGGGAGTATGTACAGGGGGAGGAGGGGAGCAGAGCCTGGGACATCAGACTCTGCCAGAAGGGAGTGGCTCACACTGCACTGAAGCACTCAGCCTGTGGGGGACTGGGGAAGGGATCGCCCCTCCTTCTCTGAACCCCTTCCCCAGTCAGACAGTCCCCTACTTGAGTGATGAGGGGGACAGAGGGAGAGACAACAGAGGCTCCCACTGGGTCCTACTGAAGGAGAACAGCAGGGGCCTCCCAAAGGGGATGTCCTTCAGTCATCGGTGATGCCCTTGGCTCTCAGCTCCTCTTGCACCCGGGTCAGGTAGGTGGGGTCCGGGTACCCAAACCTAGGAGCAAAGAGAAATGAGGGTCAGGGTTAGCCGTTCAGGCTTACTCATATTACCCCCAGGCTCACCCTCATGCTGGTGCCCCATTCTAGCCCCTCCCCACCTTCCCTGAGATTATCCAAACCCAAGATAACTGAGCCCAATTCTGCTTATTTTTGTAGGTTAAGCTGGGCACATTAGGACCAGGATGACTACAGGAGAAACTGGGACAGGCAATATGGTTGAATAGTTTGGGGGTGGTCCTCTCCAGTTAGGAGGCTCCCAGAGAGAAATGGGGAGAAGGGGTGGAGCCAAGGGAAGGGAAGAAGGCGTTTCGCACAGCTGTGGTCCCCCTGTGCAGCTGGTCTTGTGGTGGATGTCGTTCCAGGTGATGACATTCGGTCTCCCTGTGGTCATGGACGTGCCGATAGTGAAGGTGAGACGCTGGTCAAATGCCTTGCGGAACAGGGTCAGCACCTTGTTGCCCTCAGGGCAGTCCGGGAGGTAGGCCACCCGTGTGGTGCCAGGATACCGAACTCCTGGGTTTGGGTGTTCAGCCTGGGGTGGGGGAGGCAGAGTGGGCAGTGAGCAGCTGGGCATCTTGAGGGTCATCCTGGCCAGCCTTCTGGCCGTACACCCCCAGCTAACGCTGATGGGGCAGCGACAGCCTGCCAGGGAAGGTGCAGCTCTAGGGTCTGGGCAGCAGAAGCCTGTTTCCAGACAAAATCCTCATCATTAAGAGGTCCTTTCTGCTGTCCCGATCCCTCAAGCCTCAATTCAGCAACAAATGAATTCTCAAAAGTAGCTAGGCCTTACTCTCCAGATAACTCAGCAGAAATGTGAAGACTGGGAATAACTGGTCTTTCAGCCTTCCCTTCTCCACCTGAAACACTCCCAATGCATCTTCCACTGTCTAACCTGTTCTATTTTTCTATTACTCTCCTTCAGAGCTTCCTCATCACTCTGCAAACCCGAACTGGACATTACTCTTTGTCAAGCAGGAAGACACCTTTACATTCTTGACCGCTCCTATTTTAACCTTCCACTGTCATCAAGGTTTTCCCTCTCATAAATCTGGAATGGAGTAACGCTCCCAGCACTGTTAAGGGGGGTCAGACCCTTCCCACCGTGCCTGTCCGCACCTGAGCCACCACGTCCACAGACTCCACCTCTGCCAAGAATAGATGTCAACATCCAAGTTCATCAAAGAAATAGAATTCAATTCCTTTCTCTCATACCTATTTTCACGGGTGCCTTGGGGTCATGGGGATGGAAAAGCTAGGCTTCAAGGGGGCCTCTAGCTCCAGGGCACTTGAGTGGGAAGGCATACCGGGAGACAGCAAGACTGTATCACATCTAACAAACATACTCCCCCTCCCCCAGTTTTCCTAGGTCAGAGAACAAGCGCAGGGAAAACCAAAGGGTAAGGGCAGGCCATAGGCTTCTTACCCCCTGGACACCGGGCGGGAAGACGTACTGGATGACGATGGTGCCGTACTTCTCATAGCTGGGTAGGAGGAGTGTGGCATCCTTAGAGACCAGCATCCGCCCATTCTGGGGCTGGTTGCCCACCAGCTGCCCATAGAAGCGGCCACACATGGGGCAGGCCTTTTTCACCTGCAGGGCCCGGGTGATGCAGCCCTCGCAGAATGAGTGCCGGCACTTCTCTAATGTCTTGGCATTCTGGATCTCCCCCAGACAGATGGGGCAGGTGCTCTCCTGCTCTTCTGCCTCCTCCCGAAGGCGGGGGGGAAGAGGAGGGGGCAGGGGAGGAGGAGGGGGAGGCAGCCCCCGTGCCCCTGGGGGCAGGAGTGGGGCTGCTCGGAGAGGGGGCGGGCCTGGGCGGTGCAGCTCAGGGTGCTCCCCCCCACCCCCCAAAGCCAGGCAGCCCATAAGCTCCCCCTGCCTCTGAGCTTTCTTCAGCTCTTTCTCTGCCTCTTTGAGCAGCCCCTTGAGAGCCTTCCGGGCCAGGTAGAGCCCATTGGGAGGGGCTGGGGGAGGGCCCTGAGGGGAAAGCTGGAGGACATAGATGTCAGAAGTCTCGCCGTCTATGAGAATGGACACACGGTGCTCCTCCCGAAGCCGGGCCAGCCGGGCAGGGGTCTCCTTGCTGAGGAAGTCCCACACAGGCTTGGAGACAGTCACTTTGTTCTTGCAGGTGCCTCCACAGGCTGCCATTCTGGACAGGACGAACGACACTGCCCCCAGGGTGAAAAGGACTCAGGGTGGGGGGTCCCCATTTGACAAATATCAGTGCCTCCTACTTCCCGTTCCTTTCCAACCCTATATTATCTCCACTCACTCAGAGGTCAACCCCCACCTCCTCCCCCAAGTTCATGTTCTGTTTCCTCTTATCTTTCAAACTCCAGCACCCACTGAAGAGCAAGAAAGCTTCTGTATCTTTATTATCATCCAAGCCGAGCATCAATCTTGGTTCTCCTATACTGCTCCCAAGATCACAGAAACAACCTGCCCCTCCCCCCACATCAGGTGAGAACTGAGTTCTGTAAAAGGAAGGGAGATTTTTGCCCTCCTTTTTGCTCACTTTGATCCTGAAGAGCTTAGAATTGGCATGCAGGCTCTCTCTCTCTGTTCCTGCTCCCTACTTGTAGGTTGTGTGACCTGGTGGGTGGAAAGGGAAAGGAGGGAAAATGAAAAA